TGCATGAGTCTTATTTTTCCACTTCTCATATCGTTCATATAACCTATCTCGATTATATTCTAGCAAAGCTTTATCAGTTCTGCATCGTTGTAGGTGGAGGGCATTTCGCTAATACAATAACTGGAAAGCAAAATTTTCACATAGCAATGCACCGATACGGGTTTGCTTTATTGTTATATTATTTATTATTCTGTTTACTTGATTTTGAGCATTAGTCCGTAACTGATGAAGTTCAAGCAATGCCTGGTCTCGCTCCTGCCTGTATATATCACGATTTCATTATTCGTTCACCAGATCTTGTTGCAGGTTAGTATATTTACGTCGGATTGATCTTGTTGATCTTTTAATTTGATTTTTTAAAATAGTTCTACATATTGTTGTATTTTCTAGGGATCGGTCTATGGCATCGGCCAATTCAGCTATTGTACCAATATCTAAATTTTGATCAAAATTATAAATATCTAAAGAATTTTCATTAGGGTCGGATTCGTTTTTGTTAAAATTCTGTGCTTCTGCATTTTGTAAAGCCTTTCTATTATTTATAAGTTCTAACCTATCTCTATACCTCAATAATATTAATGCGAAATTTTGACAAAGTAGGTCTGTAATACGATTTTTTTGCTGATTTATTTTGCTAATCCTATTTATTTGATTGGTCCTTATTGTATTTATTTCTCGTTTAAGCCGTTCGTTTTCATCTACTAATCTTGTTGTATAATCTTGTGCTTTAGGCGTGTTTCCAGCTGATTTAGATATTTCTTGTATTTTGGTTTTTAATTTTGTTTCATGCTCATCAAATTCTAATATTAATTTATCCTTATCTGAAATTTTCTTGTCTTTCTTTTTATTTTCTTCCTCGAGTTGGTGAACAATTCTTTTTAGTTTTGAGATTTTTTTTTTTAACTCCTTTTTCTCTTCTGTAGAAACTTCGATTGTGTTATTTAACTCTTCTTCAAGAAATCTTATTCTTTCTTCCCATATACCAATAACTCTTTCTAAGGTATATAATCGTTGTTCAAAATTTCTATTTGATTCTGCTAATTGGGATACTACCTCATGGAGTTCTTGATTACTCTGTTGTAATTTCTCCATGTTTTTTTATTTATTATATTGATTGAGAAATTGCTAAATCCATAAAAGAGAATCAGTATAGAAGAACCGGTTATTTATATCGATCCTCAGAGAGCACGGGAGCTAGATCGAGTTATTGCAAAACAAAAAACCTACAATTTTTATTGATTCTCAGAAAGCTCATGATCTAGACCAACATCTTGCCTTGCAGAAGCTATATTATCGCCCTGAGGGCTTTTACCAAAATGCAAAAGAATTATGGAATATATGTAATAAAACTGGTTACACCTTCTCATTTACTGATATAAAAAAATAGCTTGATAGTTAGGCGATGTATCAAAATTTTCGGCCTTCACCAAGACAAATACCTTATGCTAGTTACTCTAAAATCACGAAGCCAAATACCATACACCAGTGTGATCTTATCAAAATACCATATGATGTAGATACAAATTCACTAGATGATGACCTAATATTTTACTATGTATTATTAGTTATAGACTATGCGACTAGGTATAAAGATTTCATTTTTTTAACGTCAAAAAATAGTGAAGAAGTTGCGGAAGCATTTAAGAGTAAATATGATAACTCTGACAACTCTTTTAACTGGCCTCGGCTATTACAACGTGATGAAGGTCGTAAGTTTATAGGAAGTGTGAGATTGATAATAGATGAACATAATGTTAATATCCAAAGAATTAAGGCACGTTTTAGACACACAAGCATGGCAATGGTTGATCGTTATGCCGGATTATTCGAATTAAGAGTTTTTAAAAACCAGTATGCAATAGAGTTTCTCTTACCTAACAGTGAACACTGTAGAGAATGTGAATGGTTTGTATGAAAGATTGTTGACAATATGAATAATACTCCAACCCGATTAATTGTATTGAGTCCTAATAATGCCATGAAACTTGAACAGATATATTCCAAGCCATCGGTAAAATATAATTGTCCAATAGGCATTGATGAACCACAACTACCAAAGAATACTACTATTCGATTTCTGCTTGCTCCTGGAGAGTGGGAAAATGATCCTTTTGAGCGACGTAGAATAACAGATCTCATATGGTCGCCTAGCCTCCATAAGATTCGAAGAATTGTTGTTGAAAAGAATCCCCCAATACCTGTTTTATATTATTTAGATAATTTGGGACCTCAACGTCCCTTTGTGAGAGAACAATTAATGCATATTAAAGAAGAGCCTATGCTTCCTCCTAGATGGTTCTTATTGGAAAGAAACCAAATGCATACAAGGTGCTTCTTATAAAAGCTTCTAAATCAATGGCGCAATAGGGAATTGTGATAAGGATTACTCCTTTTCTATAACATAGAGCCCTCTTTTTCCAGTCATGCCAAATTTGTGCATCTAGATTTATCTGTTCTTGTGGATGAAAAAAAGGCACTATTTGGTAATATTGATTACCACTATATTTGAAGGCCAAACCTAACTCTTCATTGTATCCATCCAGATATAATTCTTCCAAGAACTTAGGTTTTCGGAGTGGGAATTTTTTATGCAATAAATCTTCAAATATATATCGGCATGTTCTTTCCGGTACATTAGAGCAAATATTACACTATTGGTAATTCTGTTTCATATTTTTATATGATGCCTCCCATTGATAACCCTTTTTACATACCCATAAATATATATTAGGATTAACTTTGGCCAAACATTTCCCTTCCCGCCTCTGGGCATATGCTAAGGCTTTAGCATCAACTCCGTTATAATTTTGCATTTTATTTTCTAATCTTTTTTTTCGAATATAAATAAGAAAAAAAAGGTTCTGTCTCGCATCGATGTCTAGAACCAGACGAAGAAGCTAACTCCCATCAATATATTCATAAGTATCAGGCAACCCACAAACTTTGGATGGGTGATCAACCAATATAAAACCTTTTTCCGATACTCAGATAATATATTTTGAATAAATATCTTTAGGATAATAAGTATCTAGAAGCGCTATACTATCTTTACTATTAGATAAATATTTGAAATACACATGATCATTATAACCAGGCTCAAAATCAAGGTCCGCTAAACCAGAGAAAAGCCTAATAGCTTCATTTATTTCACTGGGGTTGGGCCCAGATTTTTTTTGCACAAGCATGATAATATATATGGAAGAAACCTACATAAAAATTCCAAATCTTTAAAATAAAAAATCATGTTCACCAGCAAACTATTGTGGCAAAAGTGATCGATATGGTAGTATCTAAAAGTGGTACCCAAAAGTGATTGATGTGGTAGCACCTAAAAGTAGTAACTATGTGAGAAGAAATCCAAACATAGTATAGAATTGGTAAATTTGGTGTCCTCCAAAGGTAGAATTATATATAGTAAAAGAAATAAGAAATTATGCCTTTGGGGGACACGCCTAATCCACCTGAAACTCAGTACGCATATAACCCGATCATGAGCTATCAATATGAATGTGCAGACAGCATCCAACATGATATCCAGAGTGGTATCCAAGGTGGCATCCAAGGCGAAGCAAATAACCCATTGAATAGAAAAACAGGATATGGAAATAGCTAAACCTCTTTAGAGTAAGAGGTCTTTACACTTACTCGAAAAAGAATACTTTTTATGCACGTAAATTATTTACTACTCCACCCAATGTAATATTTTTTACACCACTTCAGTATCTAGAAAGGCAACCAAACAGGAATAGCAATATATGGCTGGCACAGTAGACGTAGTAAATTATGATTTTGGCCAGCACAGGACTTCCATCGATGCATTCATGAGTATCGGGCTGACAGCCCCCCTCTTCACCCAGGCCGGCCACCAAATCGGGATCCATGACGTGACCTAAGCTAGCATCTAAATCGGGATCCAAGGACCCACAAGACCAATATTAAAAACCAACCAACCTGACTCCCAAACCAGCACACAGGACCGATATTAAAAACTAACCAATTCAACCTTCAAAAGACCACAAAACATTAAAAATACCAAAATAGATAGCACTATAACCATATGTAGGTAGTATTATAACTATAAGCAGGTAGTATTATAATTATAAGTAGGTAGCATTATAATGTAAGTAGAGCAGTCTTATAAGACTGCTCTACTGAAGTTTATAAAAAGAGATAAGTGGTTATAACAGGCTAGTAGATTCCGGCTAGTAATATATGGATCTGAAATCTGAGGTAGATCTAGAAGAAGCAAGAAGGCTACTTCTGCTCTTGCAGGTTACATATAGGTCCAATTGGAAACCAGGTGAATCGCATTTTAGTATAAAACAGCTTGGCTGTAATTAGATATTCAAATATAAAAATTTGTTCTGTCTATGTTAAATAATAAAGTTGTGGTATAACTGCTTGAATTTAAAAAAAAAAAAAAAAAATTATTATAAAAATAATAAATTTTTAAAAATTAATAACCTTTGATTTATTGATCCAATTTGGATAATTTAACTACCAAAATAGTCCTCTCATAGAGGCGATTCTAATGAATCTAAAATAAACCAAATCAGGTTACGTGATTTTGAGATAGTTAATGTTTTATATTATATTTACTATAGTAAATATAATACAAATTATTAATGATCTTGAGTAAGATTATGTAATTAGATTTAGATAATTTTAGATTCATTAGAAACAACTCTATGAGAAGATCATTTTAGTAGTTAAATCATTCAAATTGGATTAATAGATCAAAATTTTTAAAGATTTTATTATTTTTTATTAATAAAATTTTTAATAATTTTAATTTTTCTCTAATTGCAGGTTCTCTCTAAATACAGGTCAAAGTACTGATCCTAGCAACATGCACTTAAAAAGAGTCAACTATATATATTATACAATATATCAAACAAAAAGAAAACTATCTTTAATACTGTATATAGTATAATAAATATAATGATACGATTTAATTACAGTAATATAGATTATAGTGTAATAATATGTTAGATATAATATGTTTTTAGTAAAATCTAATGGTTGAAAAATAGAATAAAATTACTTTAATATTAAAAATGCTTTGCTTTTATTAATAATAAATCCATTTTCACATATTTTATATATTGAAAGAGTTTTTAATTGATTTGATTGGTCAACAATCATGTTTGAATTTATATTAATTAGCCAATCACATAAATTTTATAGCCTGTAATTTTCTGTAAAATATGAGTTTCTGCTATGCTATTGTATATAATATATTATATATATATATATTGAAGGATGTTTTATAGAATAGATGGGCAAACTTTGCAAACTTTGCAACTTTACTAAATATTTATTAATGATTACTAATTATTAGCAGAGTTTATTTTATATATTGCCTATTTATTCTATAGAACATCTATATTAAACCTAATAAAGTGTTAGCAAAATTGCTGAATTTAAAAAATAATAATAATAATAATCTATGAGTTATATTATTTAGTATATATGCATTGTTATATACCACCTAGTTGACTAATCAGAATATAAGATCAGGTGTAATGTGAAATTAAAAAAAAATATATAGCAATATTTTAAAAAAATTGGATATTTTATAAAATAGGTAAGCAAACTCCACAGCTTTGCTAAGTATCTATTAATAATTATTAATTATTAACGAAGTTTATTTCTTATATTGCCTACCTATTTTATAAAACATCCAAAAAATTGCTTGTAGCTCATAATTTTGTTTATATGGTGCTGGAAGCCTATACTTAACAGTTACATGAAGTATTTCAATTTTTTAAATGGCTATAACTTTTTATCTAAGAGGTTTTAAAAAAATCCACCCAGTAACTTTATAGAGATATATCAGCTCTACATGTGTGCCAAATATCTTTTCAAAATCTCATCACTGTAATGAGTTGATGCGTTTTAAAAATTGAAAATTTTATATGTAAATTTATAAATTTACATATAAAATTTCAATTTTCAAAACGCATCAACTCATTACAGTGATGAGATTTTGAAAAGATATTTGGCACACATGTAGAGCTGATATATCTCTATAAAGTTACCAGGTGGATTTTTTTAAAACCTCTTAGATAAAAAGTTACAGCCATTTAAAAAATTGAAACACTTCGTATAACCGTTGAGTATAGGCTTCTAGCACCATAAAACCTCTCTTTGTGTTCTAACAAAAAAAATTCCTTACCAAATTTTAAATTAGAAAACTTTATTACTAAAGCTCTTACCCAAACTCTAACTTAATTCTGACTCTAACTCTAAACTAACAAGCTTTTATTTATTGGTTTGTTTTTACATTACATCTGATTTTATGAGGAGTTACAATACATAGATACTAAATAATATAATTCATAATCTATTATTGATAACTTATAATTTGGTGATTTAATTATAATGATTTTGATACTATCTGAATTCTCTTAATTAGAGGCTTTAAATAGTATCAAATCATCAAGATTGAATTACTAGCTTATAAGTTATTAATAATAAATCAAAATATATAAATTTGATTAATAGTATAAAAATTTTTGCATTTGTATTCTACAAGAACTTAGTTTTCTAAATTTAAATTTTTTTTGGGGGGATTCCAAATTTTTACTAGTGATAATAGCAAAGTAGACGCATAATATGTCTTGTTTAATCAAGCACGTGATGGTAGACCAATCAAATATAAGATGAACGTCACTATCAAATGAAGCCTTTTTACTATAAAAGTAAGCTTTATAAAGTTTACTTTTATATTTTTTTGTAGGGCGAAGCTTAGTTTTGTAATTCCGAAAATTCAGACTTATAAAACAAAATCTGAAATTTTATGTTAGTATTTGGCTTGTAAGATGGTTAATTTTTGAAATATATTCGTAGCGAAAGACCTGCAGTGGGTACAAGTAAATAAAAAGTGTCTGAATTTACTCATCGTCCTATTGGTCGATATTTTTCTATACTGTATTAGGTGGTTATCAAGATAATTTTGAAAATTTTAGATAAATACTGTTACGTTGAAAAAAATATTTTTATGATGTATATAAAAAAAATATAAATTATCAATATTTTAGAATTTATTATCGCTAATATACAGTACTTTCGATTATACAAAACATATTAAAAATTTTACGGTTACATATCATCTTACAGAAAACCATTTCATAGACATCTCTTTTTATAGACAGTTCATTTATATGTAACCATTTTTACTATAATTCTTAGATCATAAAATCATATTAACCTTCGTTATAAATTAGAGATGCTGGTGAAATTAATTTCACCAATTCAACACCAGTTTTATCAATAGTGATTCTACCAACACTAAGTAATAACCAAATATATAATCCGTAAGATCATACACACTTGGGTTATTACTTAAATAGAATTATAACTGGTAATTAATTATTAATTATTCGAATCAAGTCCAATCAATACGTAGAACGAGGCTTTTAAATTTCATGGGATTTTATAACTACTTAATTAAGAGACAATATTGTTGATCTTTATAGCAAACAAAACGGATCAGCCCGACGAAACAAAAAAAGTAAAAAGATGTTTGAGGCATTGCCCTAACCTTAACTTAAAAACCGATGCTAACTCTAAATATAGTGTATAAATAAAATTGTACGTACGTATAACTGCACCTGCTCACTTAAAAATGTGCATAAAGATTACAGTTTTTATTAAAAGACTAACGCTAATACAGTATTACTGCTGTTCGATCACATAATCTGAACATTTATGTCAGAAGAATGTATGCGTACATTAATTAATTTTTATTGGCAATAGCCATCTCGCGCCTTAATTATATCATAGACGAATAAACTACGTAGAAGACATTTATATCAGATATTCATCAATTTTCTATCATTATCGCTACGTATTAAATATATTATAAATATATATATACGATATTTTTTACAACTATAGCATTTGATAAACAACTTCACATGGAATACATGGAATGCAGCTCTTGAATGTCACAAAATTTACTATAAAGGGCCTTGACATATGATTATTTAAAGTAATTAAATAAATTAAAGATGCGTATTTGCATATTTTACAAAATTACTTTCTAACGTTAAGCTAGAATTCAAAAAAAAATTCATTCGAACACGTATTTTCACGTATTTTTTTATGTATAAGACCAATGCTACCTTTTAAAACAGTTCAAAATTTTTACCTTATAGTTTTGGTGGTAACTTTGATTGCTGCCTACTATACCATAGTAGTGGTTGAGGCATCTCCTGAGTATGAATCACCAGGAGTTAACAATCAAACAAATAATGAAACTAATGTACGAACAGAAGGTGGTGACTCAAAAATTTGTAAAGACGATAATAAACTTACTGAAGAACAAGCGAATGAATTACAGGAACTAATTCATGGCATATTTTATACTGTGTTTTTCATTTTCAAATTTATCTTTAGTTCAATATTCACAGTAGTTTATCAAATTTTAAGGCCAATTATTTTTTTAATTAAACAAATTTACCATACGTTCTTCGTCGTACCGTTCGGGTTTATGAAATTGGCATTTCTCACCGTTTACCCGGTGTTTACATTTTTGGCAGTTGCTGCATTACTTGGAATTTGTTTTGGAGGCACAGCGGGATGGATTTCTGAAGTTATTGTAGGTGTGTTGACCACTCCTGTTAATGATGAAGAACCAATAACAACCGAAGTTGATAATAGGAGGCGCATGGCAAAATTAAAGAAACGCGCTGCTGCTCTAGCCAATTTGAAGGCAAGAAATGGTGGAAAACTTCCAGAAGAGTATTATAGTCGATTTGCAAACGGTCGTCCAGCAGTGACAAGAAAGGGATCATCTCGTGGTTATGAAAAGATTGGATATGAGAATGGTTATAAGGGTTATTCTAGTGCTGGAGTAGGTGATTGATTGACCGTGAAATCTGATCCATTTTAATTTAATGCAAAAAAATAATTTTCTTGCATGCAGATATATATATACTTTTTTTTTTTTTTTTTTTCGTATTTTTCGTAAACACAATATTATACATAATTTATAAGATTAGTTTGAATAACAACGAAATTTCATGAAGTTTCAACCAGGTATAAGTTGGTTTTTATCTGAATCAATTCTGAAGACTTTTATCGGTGCCTCTGGATTATAATATCCATATATCCCCCAATCACCTTTTTCACCTATCTGACGTTGAAACACGACATATTGAACAATATTTTTGATTTCTTTTGGATCCCCAGTAATTAGCTTGCCTTCTCTGTCAAACATTACAATGCACTAATGTAATAAGTATATAAGTGTCATAATTAATTTAAAATATAGAAGCTAATTGTAAATAGAATTTATGATATAGTCAACTCACTTGTTTAGTATGTAATTTGATTATCAATTGTGCTAAACCAGTATCATAATAGCGAATGCATTGGTATTTGGGATTATCAACTAGTCCATGATATTTCCAATAATATTTGTTTCCTTGTTCTTCACGTGCTTTTAATTCGAATTTTAATCTCTAATCACCCAAAAAGAATGTATGACAATGAGAATAGTAAATTAAAAAAGAAAAAATAAATGTCGGGGATGATGCTGAAATTTAAACCCACCTATACTCTTTAAAATTCATATTAATTTCAGCATCATCCCCGACAATATGAATAAATAAATAAATATATATATAATAACAATAATAATAGTATATACTAATACATACATGATACATTTTGTCTAAGGCAATAGCTCTCAACGCTTTTAAGTCTCCACTAATAATTATACTTCGAATAAATTCATTATATCAAAATATCCATTATGAGATCAACGAACAAAATCTTACTCAGCAAAATTTTGATTTAGATCTGTATACATCTTTAAAGCTTTCAATTTGAATTCATCATAATATTTTACACGTTCAAAGAATCCCATACTTTGAGTTACTTTTATCCAACTAACAAATAAAAAAAAAAGTTTCGCTAAATATATCATATTAATAATATATATAAACCAAAATAAAAATTTACCATGACCAATTTAAAACATTATATCCAAAATCTTCTCTTAAAATACGGTAAAAATCTTTGGTAAAAATTGATGGACGTTTTTTAATTCGACAATGCGGATCTTAAAATACAATTTTTTCAAAAAAAAAAAAAAATTAGATTTGCTTTTTTCTTCTAGTACAAAACATGAAATGTTATTTACCAAGGACTCCCAGATCAACGTATTGATAGTAAGAACGCATTCGAGTAGGCTGTGTACGACTTAACATGGTCTCTAGTTGCCGTTCAAGGTTTACTGTCTCTTTTTTTCATTTGAGGCTCTCTCGTAAATGTAGATTTTACCAATGATGGCTAGATGTGCTAGATGTGATCCTGGCCGATAACGAAAAATAAATTATCGGCCTAGTGGCAGATCTTGAGGCACGCCACAGCATATCACATGATGGCGACATTTTGGTGGCGATACTAGGATTTTGATATTTCGTTAAGAGGTATTAGCTGAAGATTGTTTAATTTCCTTAATTTCATTATCTAACTTTGCAATATGAATAGTCTTTTCTTCATATTTATGCTCCAGATTCACGAACCTAGCTTCATGATCTTTCAACCTTTATTTTAATTTTATATTTTATATTTTTATTTAGGCAAACTTCTTTTTAAGCTCAGGAATTTCAACATTTTCAGCCTTAAGATCAATGATTCGTTGTCTCAATAAATTTAATTCAGATAAGTCTTTATATTCGTCTTTTTGAGTTTTCATGTTTAACATTAATTTGTACAACTTTATCAAAAATGGTTATTTCATTTGCCACGTCTTGGAAAATATTTTTCTAGTTAACATCTTTAATTTCAAATAAAAATCACGAAACGTGTTAATTATTAATCAACTCATCGATCACTTTGTCAAGAAAATTTTCGTTATGTATACCAATGATATTAACATATCAGATTAATCACGGAAATACACTTGTAAAAATAATAAAATAAATTCATAAAATGTACACACACTGAAGAAGCACATACAAAAGTAAACAAGATCGTGTATGTGAAATTACCACCGGGCCAGATTAATATTTAAAATAAAAAAGTTTATGGTAGTCGAAAGTGTGTTAACGGTCACGTGAAGAATGTAAGAACGTAATTTATTTACGGTCGAATTTACTAGCAGTTCTATTGCGCCAGGTGTAAATGCACTCATTGAAGGTGCCACTATAACACCAATAGCAGCAGTTTTGTATTGTTTGGCGTCCTCTCGCGATCTAAAAAATGTTGTCAATTCTTTTTCTTAAGCCATTTCAAAAGTGATGAATAATTTACTTATCCTGTTTGTTTCTCTCTGGATCACGAATATTAATTAATTACTCCAGCGACTTGACACAATATGTTTTCACTAAAGAATAAAATAGTATTTGTTAGTATGATGGGTGCATAAACAAATGATACAGTGATACGTACGTACATACGTATCATCATCATGAGTTTATTAGCCTAATGTGTATATATACGAGGAGGCTTGTATGGATGTGATTGTCGTGCCTAATTTCTGTTTAAGGTTAAATAAACCATATTTTGACATGCGACACATTCTAAAAATGGGTTTTCATCATAACGATTTTTCTTGTGATGTATAATTCGAGTAATTTAGGCATGTTCTCTTGACAACTAAATTGTGAAATGTTCTCATCAAAAAAGGAGTGGAATAAAAGAGATGTGATTCAAAGGTGCTTTCTTCAGAAACTCCCGTTGCTTCCGTTCTTATTACACAAACCACCTATACAAGAGGCTTGATAGGTGAGGTAGATGTTTTAGAAATACTAAAAAGCGCTGATCTCGAGGTTATTCATAAAGGGTAAGCTTTTTCGTTGAGTTATCTTATATCCGAAGTTACGCTGCCCCATCAGTGTAAAATGTCTGAGAAAAATTGAAAGCTCTTCGTGGCCTATGTTTCAACATAGAACGTTCTTTTTCTCAGTTACTTGGTGTTCTTGCGGTCGTCAATACACGGGGAATTTATGGGTGAATAGGATATATGCTAACTAATGAGTGCGTTACCGTAGACTATTCCGGCCGTGCAATATTTAGTTGTTAATAACTATGACATAAATACTTACATTATTATTTATAATAGCCGTAGTGGAGATGGTGGTGTAGATATCATAACAAAAATTAGAAAAGTTAGAAACAAAAAAATTTGGATTCAAGTAAAAAATTGGTCCAATAATATAGGTAAATATTGTGTTTATTCATTCATTTATTTTTTATTAATTATTAATTAGTTAATTAATTATAGGGCCAGAAGTTGTTCAATCATTGAGAGGTGTAACTTGCTTAGAAAATGGTGTTATAGGCATTGTAGTTGGGAATAAGTTTTCTCCCGGTGCGATAGTAGAAGCAAGCAAATCCAAAAAAAATCCAATCATCCTAACAACCAAAACTTGTCTCCTTCAAACAATCCTTAATCTTACCCTTAACCTTAAAGCCCGAACTCCTATTAATCCTAAACTTTATAACCACGAATTTCTTCTTTGCCATTAATTCCGCTTTAACTAACGTCTTTCTTTTACTGCTTCAACTATCGCTATTCCTTTTTTTACCACTTAACTATCGTTATTTCCTTTAATTTCGTGATGTTACTTTCTTACCTTTGTCATTCCTTTCTTAATATATACTTTCCTACCCTTGTCATTCCTTAATTCCAAATCCACCAAAGTGTGGTACTGTACACGGGTCACTTGAGTATTGACCTCCACGTGGTGTGGCCTGGATAACCAACCAACAAATACTCATTTTTATTTTTATTTTTGTATATCCAATAATCTTTAATCTAACACATCTTTATCCTAAATCAAGATTAGCAAAATAACTCGAGTTATTTTTTATCAGAAAATTAACACTGGACTGAAGCTTTATTTGGTTTAAATGTGCAAATTTCTATAATGTGTTCAGTATTATCCTGTACTTTATTTTTATTTGAATATTAATAAAGCTGGCCCTGGTGGCTAATTTAACATAAATGATCGTGTTTACTTTTACATGTGTATTTCGTTATTGATACTATATTTATCAAAAGAAGCCAATTTTTTATTACTGAATACAACTTTTAAATTTTCGGATTCAGATTTTTAAAACAAAATAGGACCTTTTAAACACCTATTTATTTTCGAAATATGTTAATTCTGAAACCCCATTCTATTATTTTAAAAGGTAATATAAATAATATTTATTAATCCGTATATTTAAAATAAAGCTACTTAAGTTAATTAATATTTACTACGTATTTAATTTATTTTATGCGTGTTAATTTTGGTGAGTAGAGAAGATATTTGTCTAAGAATTTAAAATGAGATATTCAAGTTTTCAAATTTTACTAATTTCATTTTATTCAAGTTATTTAGAGGCTAAATACAAAGAACATCCATTACTACTCCGTGCATTTAAAATAAGTTACTCAGTTAATTGATATTTACTATTTAATTTATTTTATGCGTATTATTTTTGGTGAGTAAACTAAAAATTTAAATGCGCTATTTTGAGTTCATGAATTTTTATTATACTAATGTAATTTTATTCGTGTTGTTTTAGAAGCATGATAGTTAGAATGAGATGGTTAGAACAAGATAGTCAGAATGGGATGTAACACTATAGTTAGAATGAGACATGGCATAATAGTTATAATGGGACATAGCATGATAGTTAGGTTCGGGATATAGTACAATAATTAGATTCGTGATGTAGCACGATAGTTAGATTCGGGGTGTAGTTAGATTTTGGACATATCACGATAATTAGATCCAGGGCATAGCACGATAGATTTTACATACTGTAGTTAGATTCGGGACGTGCACTATATTTAGATTCGGGATATAGCATAGTATATTGTTAGATTCAGAACATAGCACGATAGTTAGATTCAGAATATATACATAACATGATAGTTAGATTTGTGATATAGCACGGTAATTAGATTCATAATGTAGCGTGATAGTTAGATTCATAATGTAGCGTGATAGTTAGATTCGGGACATATTACTATCAAAATCGAAGATTTACCATGTCAAATAGGTATTTTGATTTTTTCTAAAACTTTGAGCAAAGACCTCGACAAACACCTGATCGAATTTAATAAAAAATTTTTATTTGAATTCTGTGAATTTATTGAATTCAAATAAAAAAAATTTCATTGAATTTGATCAGGTAGATATCAAGATATCTTCGCTCAAAGGTTTAAAAAAATTTGGTGCAGCTTCTATTTAGATAGATGGTTTGATTTTTTCTAAAACTTTGAGTGAATATATTTCGATAACCACTTGACCAATTTGATAATTTTTTTTTATTTGAATTCTATGAATCCATAAAATTTAAATAAAAAAAATTTTCATCGAATTTGATCGGGTGGTTATCTAGATATCTTCGTTCAAAAGTTTTAAAAAAATTTGATGCAGCTTCAATTCTAATAGGCGGTTTGATTTTTTCTAAACCTTTGAGCGAAGATATCTCAACAACCACCCAATAAATTTAATAACTTTATTTTATTTGAATCTTGTGGATTTATAGAATTCAAATAAAAAAATTCATCGAATTTGGTCAGGTGGCTATCGAGATATCTTCGCTCAAAATTTTAAAAAAAATTTGGCACAGCTTTTTTTTCTAAAACTTTGAGCGAAGATATTTCGATAACCACCTGATCAAATTTGATGAAAATTTTTTTATTTAAATTTTATGAATCCATAGAATTCAAATAAAAAAAATTTCATCAAATTTGATCAGGTGGTTATCGCTCAAAGTTTTAAAAAATTTGGCGCAGCTTCAATTCTTCAAAATTTTGGTCCGCATTACATAATTGTTACTAATTTCCGGCCGGAATTAATTTTTTAATTTTTTCTTTACAAAAATAAAAATTTTTAAAAAATAAGCCCGCATTATAGTAAAATTGCCATTAGTAAAATTTTGAACAATTCCAGCCTAATTTTTTGATCGTCGCTCTTAGCCAATCAAAATCGAGAATCTGCCGTAGACGCGGCAGCTATGGTTAATAGTTCTAATAGGCGTTTTGATTTGTTCTAAAACTTTGAGCGAAGATATCTCGACAACCACCTGATCAAAATTAATAAATTTTTTTTTATTTGAATTCTGTGAATTTATGAATGAATTCAGGATAAAAAGAATTTCATCGAATTTGGTCAGGTGGATATCGAGATATCTTCGCTCAAAGTTTTGGTGCAGCTTTTATTTTGACGGTGAAATCCGCGCTACATCTCAGGTTTTACCTAATTTAGCTGATCAACGCGGATTTCACTAATTGGCAGGGCGGGTTTCACCCTATTTGGTTTTATCACGATGACCTAAAATTTACAGAACCAAATTATATGGTAAGAGGGTGTAAAATATCTATTTTAAAAATACACTATACTGATCTCATTATCAATATTGCATACTGTAATTTTGTGAAGTTTAAATCTGCCGTCATGACCAGCGTTGCAAACAAAATTACGTAATATTAATCGTCACATGCAATAAATATAAGCTATAGTATGTGATGATTAATCATACGTAATTTTGTCTGCAACGCTAAGAATAACACCATAAGCCGGTAGATCTCCGGTTATATGGACCCTCATATAATAATAACCGAGAATAGATAGCACTTTTAATTTGATTTCTTATGATTATAATAGTGGATGTATTTAAATAAATCATTTATATTAAATTAGTCTGTAAGTATAATCTAAAATATGACAGAAATTTTTGTTGCTCCTTAAGTTATTATCTTGGTAAGATTAAAACCACTTATTTAGGTTAATTTAACCGGAAAGTATAAAATAATTTGTTAATCAATGTATTCGAAAGCAATGTATGCACTTCTTATTAGTTTATCGTCCGTGCTGATTTGATTGATGAACAATTTTTTATTCAAGTTGTTAATTTCTTATTCGTGCTGATTTATGATTCTTATAACTTGATTTTCTGAAAATTTAGATACAAAATATTGATTTTTTAGTCTTGTGCTCTTGCAAAGCGCATCTGCCAAATGCTTTTCCATAAATCCGGTCTTTAACTAAAATGAAAAAAAACGTGAATTATAATATGTCAAATCACTATAAGTATTCGAATTTTTTAACCAATATCTGGATATTATAAAGTTAGATAAATAAATATCCAGATGGTTAGTTTTAACTGGATCAGATCATATCTTATTCAATTCTTTCAGGGATTGTTTCTACAAAGTGCATCGATTAATGCATTTCATTCTTCTGATCTGTGTTCATATTAGGACTCAAAGAAGCCAGGAAAGTGTTGTAAACGCATCTATTAATGCTTTTTTCTTCTCTTGCTTTTGCAGGATATACTTGCTAGGGCCTTTTCACCTTCCGATTCAAGTTTATTAGAACATGAATTAGCATGGTGTTCTTTTGCTAATGCCTTTCTACTTCAATTCAAAATATCAGTATTAAATATGCTCAATTCTAATTGGTCAACTTAAATATTGCGCCTCACAAATTTACTTCCCGGGTTCCAAATACTTTTATTTGCGATTTACCTCTTAAAAACTTTAAAAGTTAGAATCAAGTTTAAATTAGCTTAAAATAATTGGTTTTTTATATATATATTATATATATAGTATATTATCATCTTATAACGTATACCAAATAAGAACCAAATCCTATTTCTTGTTATTGAATATATACTCAAATTAGAGGCTATAAATTATTTAAAATTAAGGAGTGCCTTAAAAAAAAAAGCACTTCGCCAATAGCAAGAATTTGCCAAGGCAATTAACATTTAAACGAAAACGGATCCAGGATTTATAGAGACGGGAAAGTTTCATGTAATTTGAGAATTGAGTTCTTACTAATCCTTTCAGGGATTGGTAAATGTTTCCCGATTAATATTAGACTGCATGAGCGATGCCTGGAACTTCAATAATAATATAAAACTTTTCCCTGGCGTCACTCATACTTTATTGGCCGCTAATATATTTTTAATAAAAAGATGCTAACTAGCCAAAAATACTTTAAAATTTAATATTATACCAACTATTTTTATTTTTTTTTAAAAATTTGTTATATACTAAAATATTAATGTGGTCAAAGCACTAAAATTTTAGCTTTAACACAACAATATACAATATACAGTATATACAGTATTATATTTTCAACTAGATACTGTAAAAACAATATAATTTTTTAATTATAATTATTATAATTCAACATCTGTATCAGAATTATCATGCCCAAGATAATCATCAATAGTCATAGTATTTGCAACTTTAGCATTACCTCCAAACTCAATAATTTGCCCAGGTGGTTCTACTATAACTACTAATGATTTATAAAATATATTAAATCCTTGATAAGTTATTTGTAAAGTAGGTTTTTCATCATCTTCATTCTCATTCGTAAAGCTATCATCTAAATTTTGGGAAGATTCACCCTCTTCGGATAATGATTTTTCAGATGGAAATATGTATTTTTTATTCTACGTTGAATCAAAATAAAAAAATCATTACATATTGATAGATTGATAGATGGTAAATGTTCAAACAACCCAAAATAACAACCTTTTCCAGCACTGAATGCCTCACATCAGTACTTTTAAAATAATATGCGAACTGAAACCTCGCTATTCCAAAATTAAATCTCACTGTCAATATATGCAACTATATAAAATTAATTTGTTAGTAAACTTACCTTCACGATAAATGTCAGCTTCAAGTTTCTTTTTCTTCTCTCTTGAAAATTTTTTTGGTATTAATTTTTGTAAGGCTGATAAAACCTCCTATATGATATTTGGTAAAATCATCATGAATAGAAAACATTAAAACGTATGTTTTGATTATAAAGAGCTTACTTGAAATATAATATCATTGAACCAACTAATATGTTCTGGTTTGAGATAAAGTATCAAGGGAAGCACTTGCTTCTCCGATATGCGTAGGTATCTAATATTGCGCGTGGAATAAGTTGAGTACTTTGAAGACATTTTTCAGAAGAAAGTATGTACATACGTATGTATATACTGATACGCGAGAATAGCTGGTAATAAAACACATGATCATGATATTGTACTGTACCACTATGGGAAAATATAAATGCGTAATTCGTTAATTAAATCAAATGTAATGGATACTTATACTGGTACTATTAAACCCGAGCTAAAGATCCAAGAGCTCACTGCGGAAAAAGTTAAATTTATACTTACGAACGTGGGTCTGAGGTATTATTTATGATTCAGCTACGAGTAAGAAGTTTAAAATCTAATATCTTGCACATTTCAGCATGGCAAATGCTCTGAGACGCATAATGCTTTCTGAAATAGCTACTATAGGTAAAATGTACTATTAGAGTATGCTAATGTATATTAAACTTCTTATATTGATTATATTTATTTTATTTTATTGGAAAACAGCTATTGATATGGTGGAATTTGAACTAAACACTTCTGTGTTAGCGGACGAATTCATTGCACATCGTTTAGGTTTAATACCGTTAGACAGCACTGAAGCTGAAAAAATCAAATATTCTAGGGTAAGCAGAAAGTTTAATTTAAAGTATTTTTTCTTTATTTCTCTCTAAAATCATATTTTAAACCTTGATATTCAAAAGGAGTGCAATTGTAATGGGGCATGTAAAGAATGTAGTGTTGAATTAAATATGCATGTAAAGTGCACTGAAGAAGATATCACGAAAGATGTCACTAGTCGAGATCTTGTCAGCAGTGATCCACGCTTTACGCCTATTCAAGAAGGTCTTTTAAAAAGATTCAATTTACGAATTGACTTTTAATACTTGATTGAATTTCATTGTACCGATCGTGATTTAATAATCATTTAGGGCCAAAGGATCCAGGAATTTTGATTGCTAAACTTCGCAAAGGTCAAGAAATTAAAGTGAAATGCATCGCTAAAAAGGTTTGCCTATAATTTAAATTCGCTCATAATTTTTGAAAAGCTTTATAAACATACTAAGTGAACCATTTTAGGGTGTAGCAAAGGAGCATGCTAAATGGAGTCCTTGTGCTGCCGTTGCTTTTGAATATGACCCATTTAATAAGCTTAGGCATACAAAATATTGGATTGAAGAGGACGAACAGAGAGAATGGTAAGAATGGTATGATAAAACATAGAGACAGAGGGGAAATCTAACATATTATTTTTTGCTGTTAGGCCGGCAAGTAGAAATGCCGCAGATGATTTTGCACCAGGGGATGGTGAAGGTATATATCATCACTCATCTTCCCAATTGTTCATTATATCTTACTGACATGATATTTTATTCAATATTTTCTAGCATTCGATTTTAATGCCAGACCGAACAGATTTTATTTTGAAGTCGAAGTATAATTAATATATTTTAATAATTTTCATTAAAATCTTTTATTTATGCTTCAGCTTTTTTTTTCATTATTAAATTTGATATTTTTAGACTATTGGATCCATGAAACCTGAAGATATTGTTATGAACGCTTTTAAAAAGTTGTTAGAAAAGATTTCATCAATTCAAATGGGTATGTCAACAAACGATGGTATGTCTGGCAGAGATCAACCTAGAGATTCTTATTAAAAAGGGAGTACAATATATGCAAGGTATGTTTCATATTCATCTAATGCATATGTTTGTTATAACTGATAGAGAATTTCATTAACAATTGAATAGCAAAAAAAGCAGTTGATCAATGAGAGATATTTACATCGTTTGTCCATTATAAAAATTGATTGATTATAATCTATGCGTATTTTTTTAGAGCCATTGGAGAAAATGGAAAATAGGAAAACAGGTATTTTATAATGATAAGCCAATTATATGATTGCATAGAAAATTTTCGAGTTCATTGTAAGTTACCCTGATTACAGGTTACACTATTCATCAACGTCTAGCATTCATAGACATATGCGTATGTTTATTAAAGTTTAATAAATTTGCCACGCGAGAAATGAAATCTAATAATCGTTAAGGCCTCGGCAGTAAAGCAGAAACATTAGTAGATAATAAAAATAATTTAAGCTACATATGCATTATTAAGGAGGTTTGTGTATCATGCAGTATTAATAATCGGTTATATATATTATTGTTAAGAATCTTGTATTCTTATAATGGTCTTGTATTGCTTGCCTTTTTTAAATGTAGAATCTCATTTTCTTATTTTGTCAATATCCAATTAACATTGTGCAACATTCTAGTTCTCATAAATTTCACGTATATTCCGAAAATATTTGCGACACACATATGACTTTTTTTTTCAGAATGCATTATCAAAAGGAATAGTGTGTTACCTTGATAGTCAAAAAAAAAAAAAAAAAAAACGAACTCTCTAAAGCTAACAAAATTTTAAAGTCAACTTTATCGGTAATTTTTTTCGCCACTTGTGTTTCAACCACTGTTTCATACCCGATATTGTGTATTATTACTATATACGTATTTATATTTTGCGTTTTATTCCGGGTTATGTTTGTATAATAACAAAAATAATAAAATAATATTTAGTTCACAATAGTTCACAATAGTTCACATAGTAGTATATTACAAGTTCCCCATATTATTATTACCAGTTTACATGCTATAACGGTTTTAAATATACTTCTCTACGATCTATACAATCTTTATTTATTTTTTCATTCTTTACATTCCCTTATCACTTTATATTTACATGGCTTTCTAAGACGGAAATGCTAACCAGACATCCTTCAAGTATCAATTTAAATACAGACAAGAAGGATGAAAAAGACATTTCAATTGTTACCAACTCTACCGACATCAACTTTGATATACATATTAACATAATTTCGACAGAGAAAGTTACAGAAACCGTTGCAAAACTTGAGTATAAAAATCTCAATAAAATAATGTCTACTGGTACCGACAATGTTTTAAACGGTAAGAATTATTGTTTTTTTTTTTTTCTCATTTCTCATTATAAAAGTCAAATTTTTGTTAAATATAATTAATGATCTCTTTTTCATAAAGACGGAACAAAAGAATTAGAATCAAATCTTTCGGTTAATAATAAAACTAAGGAAAATAGATCATCAAAGGAATATAGATCATCAAAAGAATATAGTTTAGGATCAGGTACAAGTAATAGTTCTATGGATGATAAAGAGGAAAAACAAGAAGTAAATGAATCAATAAATCCAGGTTTGGATACTTCATCTTTTACTTCAGTTACGGAGACAAATTATTCAGAGTCTTCAGAATCTGGTCGCTCTAATGAACCAGATTCACCTCCTTTAACATTAATACCAAACGTTATTGAAATTGAAAGAGGAAAAGGTTCTTTAAGGCGAAAAAAATCAAATCGTTCTATATTTTCAGTATTATCTTTATCTAATAAAGATGTAAATAAGGGTTCTTTATCAGAATCAGAAGGTGATCCTCCAAAAACTACTTCACCTAAATCTCCATCGAAATCTGATAGGATTTTAGGACGTTCGGGATTTTCTTCTTTATCTATGAGAAAACGTCGTTCAAAACCAACTATACCCCTAGAGGATCAATTAAATGTTCCTTTATCACCTGAATATTCGTCTTCTGATATTCCTGAAAAGACTTCAACTTCAAAAGTCGGAAAACTTCTTGGTTTGACCCCAATGGAAGAAAGGATATTATTGGATAAACCTTCGAATGGTAAAATTAGTAAAAAAATACGTGGTCCTTCTTCATCTGTTGATGGAAAGCATAATGATAAAGATGAAAAAGGTCATGATAGAAGTAGAAACAATAGCCAGGTCATAAGTGGAAATAGTAATAAAATTAATAAAATTCTTGGAGTATCAAATGTTCATGATGATATATCAACTGTAGATAAATCAAATAAGGCTGGAAAAATTCTTGGGTGGGATGATAGGGATGATAATGAAATAGATAAGAAGGCACATACACTATATATGGAAAAGTTAGTATCGGAATTTAGATCTGCTCGTACAAACGTTAATAGTCAAGTCACTGTTGCTAGCATTCGTAATGCTTCAGCATTTACTGGAAATTTGTCCAAATATATAAATACTAATTTTGTCCTAGCAAAATCGAGATCATGGAAAAAAAGATATTTTATTTTGACAAAAAATACTTTATATTGTTTTAAGTCAAATGATCCGACTGCTATTTTAATGGATAGTTTCGAATTAACTGCAAATACTATTGTATGCGTTAGTGAAGCATTTACTGGTCGGTCTTGGGTATTAGAAGTTAGAAAAGATCATAAACCATGGTTCTTACAAGCAGAAAGTGTTGATGATATGAAAACTTGGCTAACAGAATTAAAAGCAACAGTGGTAAAATGTAAATATAAAGAACAAGAATTACCTGATGTTCCTAATCGTTCCTTAAAACCAATTGATGATGAGGATAGTGAGAAAGATGTATTTTCAACACCAAAAGCATCATTGGAAATTCCACATAAAACAAATAAACCTTTGGAAGAAAATACTAAGACATTCGAACAGGTCTCCCTGCCTCCTCCACCGAGGCCGATTCCTCCTCCACCTCGATCGAGATCTCGTTCACCTTCTCCGACGAAATTGTCATCACCAACTCATCCATTGTCACCTCACCTTATTGTGAATGGGGATGTAGAAGAATTTATTGGATCCATAAAAAAAGACCAGACGAAATCAGAACTTCCATCACGTCCTTCTTCTCCAGTTGAAACTTTATCACCACCAAGGACAAGACAAGAACAGATCATATCAATTGAGAATGTAACATCCTTTGATTCTAACGATCCTCAGCAATTGTCACATGTAAGAAATGACTCGGGCCCTATTAATATAGGATTACCAATAAGTACAAGTATACCCCGTCGTCGTCTCTCTCCGCCTATCAAGAGGGAGGAAAGAAATAGCGTTCGACAAAGTATTCCGATAATGATGTCACCAAATCTTTTTAAGACGACATCATATAATACTGTTATTGGGACATCATTATCACCTCCGCCTCGTTCGCCAAGATCACCCCCCCTTGTAGGATCGGAAAATTCTTCAACATCATCATCACCAGAAGGTTTACGGTCGATTATTCGGGTTGGTCCTCCACCAAATATTCCTTTACCTTTACCACCTCCTATACCACCTCCTAGACCAAAATGTACGATAACTCAAAATACAGTACCTAGATCACCACAAACACCACGAATTTCCAATGATATTCCAAGATCTTCAATACCTCATGATAGAATGAGAACACCAACACCAACGCGTTTTACACATTCACATCGTGCAATGATGTATTTACCTCCTTCTCTCCCACCACCGACAATACCATTGCCACCAGTACCGACTGAACCAATGAACAATGATACGTCAGTGACAAATTATTCAACATCCGTTATAACGGAAACGATAACTGAGTTTCCTGACGATGATGACCTAGATCCAGATTATGCAGAAGAGTTAGAGGCATCTCGTCTAGTGATCCTGGCCAATAATAAAAAAATTAGCTAATGCTGATTTTCGACTTAGCATGCCGATTTTTTTTTTTCAAAGTCGGTTGATCGACTTCTCATGATAATAATTCAATTGTAAGCTTTAATCATTTATAAAAAGTCTTCTTTTTTTTTTTGTTTATTTATTGTATGTTGAAATCAAATTTTTTCGATTTTAAATCAATTTAAGTTGTAATGAAATTCAATTTCTACTTAATATATATAGATTTAGAATTAATTCAATCAATAAATTATAACAGGAATTATTAACTTTAATACTTATTAAATCTCATTTTTATTAATAGCCGAATCTCAAAAATATGATATCCTTTTTTTTAAATCAAACTTCTTAAATATGACTGATTATAAAATTCTTAAGATTTTAGAAAATGGTATCGAATTAAATGTAAGAGCGATTGAAAGTTTTCGAGTAATCCCTGAATTATATTATTTGTGAAAAGTGCCATATATAGTTCTTATCGCATATAAAATGCAGTCGCGCGAACATAAAACGCAAAAGTGTTAGATATGGTTTGAGTGAAACCTCCATCCCCAAAATTCCTGGTCGGGATGCATCGGAACTCTGGTCGGATTGGCCGGAATTTAACAATTTTGACAAAGATCACTAAAAATTTTTACTAATGAACTAGCTATCTTGTTTGCTTGTTTGAATTGTCAATTTGGGTTTGTTGATTTTGATTATTAGTTTGAATTTGGCTAATTTGCTCCTCACTTAAAATAAGTAGATACAACTAGTGATGCAAACGGCTCGGTTCGGCTTGGCTAATGGCTTGCATTGACCAAGCCGAGCCGATCTTTCGGTCAGAGCCAAGCCGCTACCCTATATAAGGAAACTATCCAATCAGACACGAACACAAATTTTTAATATTTAAAATTGATACGTATAATTTTCTTAATATTAATACAATTTTTTTTTTAATAAAACTTTAAATAGTTCTATAGCAAATAAATAGTGTTAATTACAACACATTATTGCCCGGTTTATATTTTATTAAGCCTCACTTATATTTAAAAATCTGTTATTTAAGTTG